ATGACAGAGCAATTGCGCTGATAAGTTTTTAAATGTGTATTGAACCTAGTATTAAATAGCTGACAATCTCCCGTTCAATATATTAAATATTTAGAGACGTGGCGAAGAAAATAGTATTGCGCATGTGATGTCACATCAATAGCCAGTTTAAGACCACATGCTGACCGTTTTAAATTTGAAGGCGGGCATACGTACATATAATTACACAAAAGATCTATGGATGTCGACATTACCAACTATTAGAATGTTTTCAAATGACAAGTATACGGTGTAAAAAACCCTTGAGCTAGTTTCAGCTTCTGGTGGGCGGGTTTTAAGCAAACTTAGGACTGGAGTGTTTTTTTCTGAACCTGGCAACCCTGCTCACGACCACAGGCGGCCCGCTTAGACTTAAACACATTTCACACAGCCTCGGTTGAGAAGAGCACGTCTGATACAGATAGAAATAAATAGGTTTTTAGGTCGTTTGCCCTATAATGTGAGGGATATGGCCGGGACAAGGTAAGATATTTTCACTTATGAGTCATGTGAAACCTTGGGACGGGATACATTTTTCAAACTTTTCAAACATTTTTAACTGTTAATTCGATATCTCTCGCACACATTGTGATGGTAACTAGCTAGCTTAGCTACGAGTTAGCCACCCTGTTAACAGTCAAACAGCGTAGCTACTTAATTAAGTTAACTTATTTAATTTTAAAGGAAAATCAGTCAGAAAATGAGTTAAAGAATTTTTTCAGTGATAAATTAATGTACGACCCATTCATTTGTCGGAACTGTTGTATGTGAGTGTGTGTGCCGTGCTTGTTGGTTGTAGTATGAAGTAACGTTAGCGTTAACGTTAAATATCGATTTGGCTAGGAGCAGAGTTAATCGTTGTGTTCGAGATCAGAGGTTTAATTTCTTTCCGCTTTAGTTCAGTTTCACAACTTCAGAAAGCAAGATAATCGTATAAAAGTATATCTCGAATTAGCTAGGCATACATAATAAAATATTTGCTAGCGTTGGAAAATTTAAACATTAGAAGTGTGTGCTTTTTGTATCTGGCTTTTTCTACAGTCGGTCTCAACTCTTGGCTTGTAAGAGCATATTAAAACTACATAGGAGGCGATTGATGTCAGTTTCTGTCAAAGTTATGCTGGCGTTATCTTTCATTTTCATCTTGTCTGATTGTCACTTATCGAAGCCGCTGTTTCATTGAGTTCTTATCTCTTTTCTTATCTCTGATGTGGATATAAACCTGGGCTGCTATTGTTAGCAGAGCATTACCAGGGCTAGAGGGCAAAATGCGGGTTGGCTGTGCTTTGGTGACTGTGTTGCGCCACACATTAAAACAGCACCGCATCTGCACTGAACAGACCTGCAGATTTAGTTTCATTAAAAAAAGGCATGCCGCCGTTTTCCACTTAGCTTGATGCTTTCGAGGATTTTAACTCTTACTGCTCATCTGAACAAAATACTTTTAGTAGTTCAGAGCCTTTAGTGTCTCATTCTCTCATTCCAGAAATGAGTCTCTAGAGCAATGTACTTGGAGAAGGACTTGTTAAAGTTTTGTTGCTTTTAAAGAGTCGCACTTCTTGTAATATTATTCTGTCATACTGGTAATTATTCGGCTGGTTGTCCTGCTTCCTTTAAATGTTTTGTTGACTTTACTGGATTTTTTGCATAAATACATTGTAAATGAGCCCTATCAACACAGCATGATAAGCTAGAAGTGTTAATGAGTATTACCCACTTAAAAAGCATTGTTAAACTTTTCTTTGCTCTGTCATTCTATAAAGTAGCATAGCCTTGCTTACCAAACCTACACCTGTGACCTAAATACTGATTTGGCAGTATATTTGAACTAAAATGAAAATGCTTTCCAAAGCTACCCTGTACTGTGAGTTAGGAGTGGGTGTATGGCAAACGTATATGATAATACTTGAAAACATTTTCAAGGTTCACAATATGTTGCTTTTCTGAGGTTTGATAAGTTAGAATGAACAAAAATGTGCCAGTAGTGCCACATCTTAAAAATATGATTAAAAAAAAAATACATTGTAATAGTACAATGATTTTTATTCAGCATTCCCCATGCTGTTATTCAGTGGTCTTTAAGTACTAATTATATGCAGAAATGCCCAGAAAAGCATTTTGAGATGTGATTTATTAGAATAAGAATAAACATCACATTTTGTATCTGTGTATCTGTACTCTCCACTAGCCTAATTCCTTTATCACTATTTCATTTTTCATGAGCAGAATCCAGTTAAGTTGTATTGAGCAAATGCCAGATTATAAAAAATACGATCGCAAACTGAGTACAATCATTTTTATGAAACATTTCACGTGCTGGTATTCAGTGCTTTTTAAGTATTGACGATATTCTCAGTATGCTCAGGAAAGCATTTTATGATGGAATTTGTCAGAATAACAACAAAATGTCACAATACTGCACACCCCTACTACAAGCTTGCCTACTTGTCCATCAATAGGATGTAATTAGAAAGTAACACACTGTCATGAAGAAGGCCTGAATCATCTTTAAACTGAAATGAATCCGAATGAAAGTTAATCAGGCTGTTTTCTGCTAGTCTTTGCAAAGAATAGTTCCTTTACAGCATAAAGCATTATATCGGTCCACCTTCTAAGCACAAAATGGTATATCTTTTAAGAGGGGAATCCATCCATTAGCTACAATGACTCACAGGATGTTTCCCCCCTGTTTGCATGTCTCACACTATCACAATGGTCTCACAGACAAAAGGAGGACACTGCTTTGTGACAGTAGTTTACCTCTGTGTTTCCACCTTTGTGATAAAACATCAGTGACATGACACATTTATTTTTGTTGTTGTACAAAATGTTTCTATTTCATGCAAGTGCTGCAGATCCATTGTGTGATCAGAATATTTTTTTTTTTTTTAGGTCCATTAAGACAAGCCAAAAGCCTTCCAATTTTTGGAACTGATTTTGGGTTTATTTGTTTTTAAAAAACAAATCAGAGAATATTTTTACACAGTAGATCAGGATAATAATCTGGCATCTCTTAGGCTTTTATGTTTCAAAGCTGCTTTTAAACAGGAGAACAAAATCACGCCTGAATATAAATTGAAAAATATATAAATCATCCAGAAGGCTAGATGGTAGACGGTGAACATTAATGCATTATATGTGTTGGACATAAATGCACTTATGACTATGAGCTATAATAAACATGTTATAAAAGCTTAGTGTTCTTATATGCTGTGTGTGGTTGGAGCTGAAAGCCTGTGTCCTGTTTCACCCAGCAACCCTGTTTGCACCATTATGCTGTATCCTTTAATCTACTCTGCCAGCACAGACCCGCAGTGAGAAAAGCTTTATCATTGCCTGTCCTTTCCTATATCTTACTAAATCCCAAAGCAAACGTTAACAACTCAATCCAGTCGGTTCTCTTTTTTGTCTCCTAGGAGACCACTCTAACACCTCTGTGCTTTTAGGCTGGGAAGTCACCCCTGACCCCTCTCACCCTGTAACATGGCCTGTGCTCCAGACCTTAGCCTGTTCATCACAACATCAGATTACTTGGAAGCAATCAGAAAAGAAAATCCTACTTTTAGTGTCAAATAAATAAAAAAAAAAGTTCATCTTGACCCTTTAATCATATTTGGAAAAGGATGGTCATTGATTAACTTTTAATATACTTTTGTAGAATGGTTGGAAATCCACTTTATCATTGTATCTGTATTCATTTTATGAGTATTAATACTGTAAAATTTGCCTCCAATTGTTTATATTTGTCAGATTGCTTACTGAAATAAGTCGCTGTTACCAGCACTGATGGCTGGTATAACAAACAAAGAGAACCTTTGTATGTTAAGTGTATCTCAGCTTAATGCAGACTTCGGCTCCCCACTGCCTGTGTTTTCCCTTTCACAGACACTTGTTTGGTAATGTCCAGCCCACCCATGACCTGACAGTGTACGAATTTGTTCTGAAAAAGGGGGTTGGGGGTTTAGGAAGAGGGATGGCGACTAAACTTACTTTTCTGAGTCATCCCTGTCCAAATGGATTTTTATTGTTGTTTGTCCCAGTTGCACTCTCTGGAGGTTTGACCTCTCTGCTTGGGCTGGTTGTTTTTCTGGATACAGGAAAAGGATCAACCTGAGACAATAGCAGCCGTACACTTGTGCAGCAGCACATCATTCCAATGAGGTCAGCCTGCTGTGCTTTATATAGAGTAAATTCAAGCCTGTAGGGGGTTTAAAGGACCAAGCTGGCCTCATTTTTACTTTGGCAGTCACACCCCGACCTCATATCTGTATCCCAAAAACAGACACCCTCTTTTTTCACGGTTGCGCAAGTGGCCTGTGATTGACTAGAGGCACTGCCTGACAGTTTGAATTGGGGGGTTGCTGCAGATGAATAAAGTCCAATAGCTGAGCTAACAGTGGGCCCCATTGTCTTGTTCCTGTTATCTATTAGAGCAGAGACTAATACACATGTATTTTAATGCATATGAATGTGCCTTGTGACAGGCATGGCTGCTTAATTGAATGTTCTCTTTTCAGTGTAGCATTTATGTGCTCACTTCTATGTGTAGAATAAAGGGTTATCGAATAAGGATGCAGTTACAAAGCTATTGGTGCTGCTTACTTTTCATTTCTGGGAATGATCTATTTGTTTTGTTGACTTCAGTAGACACCTGTTGTTTGAAGACAACAAAATTCCAAATAGTAAAATGCAGCGTCAGAAAGGACAGTAGAAAAACTCAAGCCCAGGTTAAGTTAGTCTAATACACAAACACAATGTCTTCTGTGTTTTGTCGTTGTTTAGCACTAATGAATATAGACCCAAACAAATAATCTCTGTGAAGGGAAGAGTAACAGTACAGATGATTCCAGCTTGTGTTGGCCCATGTGTGCATGATGTGCTTGCATGTGTCCTTCCAGACTGCTGTAATGCGTTCACCCTCTGTGCTCGATCTGAAACGTGTAATGGCTCTCTTCTCACAGCTGATTGGTTCATATAGGGACAGCCATATCAGTCCTGCCACATTACCCCCAAAGACAAACAAGACCAGTGTTAGAGTTGGGGAGAAAGAAACAGACATGAAGAGACATGAACAGCTGTTGCTTTGCCTCTATTGAGGGTTGGAGAAGAGAGCTATGCTCTGATGGAGAAATGTTCATGACTGTACACTGGTAAACATTTACCTTCTTTTTACAAAACATAGTTTCATAGTTTGCTTCTAGCAGTTGTACTTGTTCTTATGGTTACCCTCTGTGTGCACATAAGAATAAGGATGAAGGGCACCATGCTACACATACATGTATATGTAATAGAAAGTCTGTATCCTAAGGGTCTACAGTTCCATAGTAGGGGTCAATTTAACAATTAATAGTACAATGGAGCTGTTGTGGGGGAAAATAGTCATTAGATATCTCTTGGGTGAGTCTCAAAGGAGCACATTTGGCTCGGTTAAAAGGAGTTCGGTGTGGGAGCAAATGTGCGTGCATATACACAGTCACTCCCTCACACCTTCAGAAACTCACTTAGGGACACATTCAACGTGTGAAGATTTGTCACCTCTAACTCGTGGCATTACTGGAATAAGATGTAGCACACTGTAGAACAACAGAATAAACTTACAGGTGCAACAGTTTGTTTCTGTTCAAATGAATAAGTGCACAGTTCCCCTTCAGGGTGATCTTGTTGTCCTGCTTTTTCTTTCCCTGAAACATTGAACTTTGTGTGAGTTGTTTGCTAATATATGTATACAGCTGACACTTTTGTGTGTTTTAGATAATTTTGTCAAAACTGGTTTGTTTACTCATTCAGTTAGATATTTAGTAAAAATGCATATGTAGGGCTAGTTTGTATAATTAAAAAACTAGAAATGCACTGATATGGGAATTGTGGGCTGATGTGGAGGTCCAGTATTTTTTATGTGCATATTTGCAGATGCCAATTCATAAACATTTATACATTGTAGAAATTGAGACCAGATCCACATGGATTAGTATTATAGGATGCTTGCTGACATGCTATGGTATCATCATGTTTTAATGACCAATAAGTATGTACCTTAGCCTATGTTTACCTGTTTGGGAAGGGACACATTAAGAATATTCTTATTTTTGTTTTTTTGTTAAACCTTCACAAAGAATACAATCTGGTCTTTTCACACAGGATGTAGTGACTCTGAATATACTGTCTGAATTTAGCTGTGGCAGCAGGCAAAAAGTCTTAATGGGTTTTCTAACTCAATAGCAGGTCCTGTTTTTAAATACACTGGCTTGGCGTGGTCCTCACAAGTCAAGTGCCAGACCCAGAATAGCATGTTGTTGTTAGGCTATGTTGTAGCTCACTGCTTTATAAGTAGCCTAACTGCCAGTTAGGTACATTGGACACCCATTGGCATGTTGTCCCCAGTAACTAGGGGGCAACATAAGCATTGCTTATAGTTTGGCATTTCTGTGCTTTTTTTTCCCTTGGGCCTGTTTTCGGTACCAGTAGAGCAGAAATACTCAAAGGCCATCGGCAAGAAAAGACACTGGACCAAAAACCCTTTTTTTGTCAAAGCTTGGAGATTTTTTTTAAACAATAGTTTTGAAAAGTTAAGAATTTAGACTGGAATTTTGTTGTTTTCTCTGCCAGGAATCTTACATTTGATTAGCAGTCTCTAATTAGACAGCATCTTAGTAGTTATTCTTGTAATAGGTGAAGCATCGGAAGAGAGAGGGAGATTCTTGGCCTCTTGGTCTTGGTTTGATGCTCTGTTGTGTGAGGTGTTTTCATGTGAGGTGTTATTTTAATTGCTTTAATATATTTTTAGCCATAATGGATTAACTGTGGGGTCACAGCATGTTCTATTGCTCCAGGTGCTAACAAAGACACAATGTGCCATTGAATACCAGCTGTTGTTGTAGAGCAGGAGTTCTCCACAGTCCCACTGCTGTGCATAATTTAAAAATTTCCCTACTTCGTCACCCCTCATGCAGTGTATTAAGGGCTGGATCTAATGAACTGGATCAGGTGTGTTGAGATGGAGGAATACTTGAAACTGTGCAGGACAGTGGGTCACTAGGAATACAGTTGAGAAGTCCTGTTGTAGGGAAATGAAGTGAAATTTCTTACTGTTTTCATTGTGACAATTCGTAAGAGACATGATTGAAAAAACAGTTTAGTACTGTACTTGTCATACGTAGGAAGTGAGAGAGGAGCTAGAGATACAGTCTTTTTTTTAGCTTTCTTAATAGGGATGCATCGATACTGTTTTTTCAGACTGTATACAAGTACATATTTTTAGTACTCGTTGATACTAAGTCTGAGGCTAATGCATCTGAGGCCAATGCATCTAAAGAGCTTACTTGTAGAGTTTTATGCCTTCTCTGGGTGTTTTGTGTGCCTGGTTGAGTTGTGGCTGAATGTCCTCTAAAGCCAGACATACATTGTGGGATTTTAGAAATCTTGTGCTTTGATGACTCCCACTGTACATTTTAAATAGACCATCATGTATGGACAAAGCCTGCGATTTATATACTCACAGTGTACAAAAACTCTCTGTCTGATTGGCATGCTACATGAAATGAAATGCATCATTCTGTAGTTCACTTTATGCCCATGTTTGGGACTCTTAGTCTAAGGATGATTTCTCTACGGACAAAATTAATGGGGTTTTAAAAAAAAAATCGCTATCATGACCTGTGATAAATGAAAAATTTCAGAACCTGATGCGTTTTGTCCTGTGTACATTTTTCTCCTGTATTTTACTGGATCCTCTGAATTACAAAGTTGTTTAAAGATGCGAATGCAAGCTAATGCTATTACACATAAATTTGATGTCACTAAGCTACAAAGTAAGGCGAGTGTTCTGACAAATTATGCTACCTTGTCAATGTCCTACCATAGTACATATTTATAGATATGGTATAGATAGACCTCTTGGTAGGATATTTGAATTACTTTATCGAAAAATACTAGCAGAAGTCAGTTTTTTATTCGTCAGCTTCTTGTTCAAATTTTCCCATTCCACTTTAAATGGTGCAGCAGTTCTTATAATGCCTCAGATGCGAGAATGTAACTGCTGCAGTAGCCTTAGCTTACATGTGGCAGTATTCTTATTTTGTCTCCTTAATGACCTTGTAATTCAGAGGATCCGGTGATAATTGAGAGAAAAATGTTAATAGAACAAAACAAATCACTGTGGAACATTTTTGATAACCACAGGATTTCTTTTAGTCCCAGAGTTCCTTGAATGGGCATAAGAGCATGGTGCTGACTATAGCAGGCTTCCAGCCTGCAGCTAAATTGATGACAATTATTAATTTGCGAATAATAAAATTAAGTCGCCAGTGGTGACAGGTAGTAACTTTGAACTATTATAATTTATTATGGGTAACTATTTATATAAATATAAATACTTTTTTACCTGAGAGGCTATAGCGTCACATGGATGCATCCACCTATCAAAAAACGCTTACGTGCCTGCGGGATTTCAACCAGAGTGGCAAAACGTGACAAACAAAGCAGATGAGCCGAGCTGCAGTGTATCATAACATAAAGCAGGCTATATTGCGAATTCTGTTTGAAAGCAAGCAAAGATGTAGCTGGGCAATGGATTTCTTAACAGGAATGAATAATTTCTAAAAAAGAGACTGTGGAAAAAACACTGAGAGTCAATGGCGTAAAAATGCACGCAATTTCATTATCACAAAGAGTGCTTCTAAGGAAACTCCTTTAGCCCGCACAGTATCTCATGCATGTGAAAAAACAGCCAAGAATTCAAGGATCTTAAAATTCAATTGAACACAGTCTCCATGATGGCGCATAAAGACCTGCTCTTCACCAAATTCACCTCCCAAATCTTGTTAATAAAAAAAAAATACAGACTGGATGTGTCAAAGACATATGTTAAGATGTATGAGAAGAACAAGGCGGTGGAAGGCAGAGATACTTAAATCACAGAGCTGACGGTTGGGGTTGTGTTTGTGTGTTAAAAATGGGCTGAAATCACACAGTGTATGTCTGGCAGCTGACAACCTTTTGAGTTAAGCGTGAAATGGTCCCACATTTTTGAAGATTTTAGTTCTTGAGGCTGCCATCTCATTTTTGTTAACTTTCCAGTAAGCAGCAATGTCAAAACATTCCTAGTGAGTGCAAGAAAGATGCGTAATGACATCACCAACTAATCGACTATGAAATTAGTTGCCAACTAATTTGGTTGTCTGTTGTAGTCGACCAAGTCGAATAATCGTTGCACCCCTAGTCTGGTTTTGCTATGTCATGGCTGTGTAAAATTAATCTGTAATCTGTCCTAAGAGTTTTAACCTTTCCTAAACTTACTGCACTACACATATGGATTGTTATATGAGTTAAAGTATGAATTTGTTTAAAAGTGCATAAAAGTGAACTCATCTGTGATCTGTATCAGTCGCAGCAAAGAGTGGCGGATTAAAGTAATCAGGGGCTCCTAGGCACTTTGAATAGGACTCCCAACCCTCCTACACAAACATTCTATCTATCCACTACCAGACGAAAGAAAATGCAAAGACAAATTTATGCTACTGCCAGGTGAGATGGAAAAGTTCAATGGTGAGTCACGTGTGCACACTCACACACTTGAAGAGTAACCAAGTACAGTAATGCAGCTGGTATATGGTTGCTAGGGGTGGGAATCTCTAGGCACTTCACGATTCGATTCGGTTACATTTAGAGGGCAATTATGAAACGATTATCGGTGCATCTTGATGCGTCTTTTTTTTCTATACAGGATTTCTATTTTCTCACTGTGTGAGGACTTGGTACTTTTATGGCAAAGTATTTGTAATGATCCATAATGCATTTACTTCCAATATCTTTTATTAATAAAACCAAACAGATGTGATGTGGCAAGTGAACTGGAAGGCTCTCATTCACTGCTCTTGTTTGGAGCACATGAGACACTGGCTGCCACTCATCTGCGATAAAATGCGCTGTTACGGTGAAATAAGATCCTGTGGCAGTGGATGTCCACGCAGCACATGTTACAGCCGTCCTACCCATTTTCTTTAGTGATTTTATAACTTCGGTTTTGGTCTCATTGTAGAGAATGGGGTTTGCTGTGTCAGTAAAATATCTTTGAGACGGGACGTGTGCAGCATAGTGTGAAAGCCCTGGTTCTCAATGACTGAGAACTGGCATGCAGACTGCAGGTCACATAGCAACGCAGTCTTGCCTAGCTAGTAGCTAATGAAAAGGCAAAGAAAGAGATTTAAGACGAACATTCTGAGATGAATGGACTTACTTGCATTTATAAGCACTGCAGTTGGTTTCCCGGTACATTAAATCTGCAACGAGAGACTGTCAAACACTAAAAGGTAGCAAAGTCAGCTTCTCTTTCGAATTTTCCTGTTCCACCTTAAATGGTGCCACATTTACATTCGGCGTCTCAAAGTTTAAAGTGGAATGGGAAAATTTGACTTAAGCCTCGTAAAATAGTCAAACGTTGAGAGACGTTTTACAAGAAACGATTCAACTTTTGAGGAACAGTGTCCTGGTGGAAATGGGTGGAAAGCGGCTATAGCTAAAGCATAAAGCAGAGCAAAGTAAGTCTGCGTTTTCGTTTATATTTTTTAGCCTATACTAGGACATTAGCACATATTGAGACATATTGGACATTAAATGTTGTCGCTTCCAAGGTTGTTTGATTTTTGTTAAAAGGACAAAATGGCTCTTTTTAACCTAGCTTTTAATGCAGAGGTTGCCAGTCGGATTTGTCGCTCATCCAGTTGTGTTTTTGTTATGTGCCGCCAAAGACTGTTCGGGCGCTGCACTTCCGCGCTTCCAAGTTCCGCCTTCTGTGTTCCGTTAACATTATGTTATCAATAAATTTAGAAAATCAGTTTTTGGCATTTGTGAATCGATTCAGAATTGCTAATGTCTGCATCGCGATACGTTTTAGAATTGATTTTTCCCCCCACCCCTAATGGTTGCACAGCAAATCTGCAAGCTCATTAAACAATAAGCTTTGAGACCAACCATACACTAGATAACGGTGCAGTTCAGGGCCAATCAGTCTGCCCAAATCCCTGTGTGGGCCCCTAGGCTGCAGCCTAGGGTAGCCTGTGCGTTAATGTGCCCCAACAGCAGTGTTCAGTCTACTTCTAACCTTTGCTCCATACTTCCTTGTGTTACTGTTCATGTTGCATACCTCCTTATATGCAAGCCCAAAAAGGAGATTTTTACATTAATCTCGTATGATTTGATAGAAAGATTTTGCATGAGGTATTCAGTTGCTAAAACACAAAGACTGTCCAGAGTGTGGGAAAATCAGTGAGAAAATGATGGGTGGGGATCAGGGCACAAAGGCCTCCAGTTAAACTAGGGCTCAATTACATGCCTCCCACCTATAAAGCTCTTGATCTAGCATTGTAAAAGACGACTCTGGAGCTGCTGATTGTTGAAAAAGTTGGGACGCTGTGCAAAATGTAAATAAAAACAAAAGGCAAAGATGTGCAAATCCTTTAAACCCTATATGTAATTGAAAATAGAGCAAAGACAACGTATGAAATCTTGAAACCGAGAAATTTGTTTTTTTGAATTTCACGGCAACAACACATTCCAAAAAAGCCAACAAAAGGCTGGTAAAATTGTGTAATGCTAAAAAAAAACACCTGGTGGTTAATTGGCAACAGGAGTAACATTTCTCAACGTAAAATAGCAAAGAACATCTGCTTTTCATCATCTACGGTACATAATATCATTAAAAGATTCAGAAAATCTGGAGAAATCTCTGTATGTTGTTTATTTTCTTTTTCTGTAACATTACCTTTTCTGAGGTAAAAAGTGTTATAATGATAGCAGCTATGTACTCACAAAGCAGTGTATTTTAATCTGTCCAATTCATCAGAATTGTATGAGGTTGGAATGTTTAGCAGAGTTAATAATGGTAAAGTGAGCTATTTGAAGTGTCAGAGTCAGATGGCCTCAAAGCATCATACTGTTTGAGAAGGACTGTTGTTCTGGCCACTCCTTTTCAAATTATACATGCCACTGATGGTAAACCATACACCCACAAGCCTTCACACTGTTGCAGTTCTCATATTCATGAAATTTAGCTTTATCCAGATGTAGGAGTGATGTGAGTTGATGAGTTTGGAAAGAAATAATATCTGTGGGTAGGTGGTCCTATAGGAGCTTCCTTTGATGGGCTACTTTTAAAACCCTGGCCTAGGTTGGGTTGCCCAAGGAACAAGGGGGCACTGTGTGTATGGCAGACAGCTTTGACACCTCTCCGTTGGTAGTGGTGGGTCGTGGCAAATGGAAAAAAATCTGAATTTTCATGTCCTTGGCACTTCAGCAAAAGTTAAAATGTTTTTTTTTTTACAAACAAAACAGATTTAGAGAGTAGCAAAACAGATTTAGGGAGTAAATAATAGTTGTCTACATGTAGTTTTAAAAAAAATACCTTGAGGTCTTGAGTTCTTGTTTGACAATTTCAGCATTTGTGTCTTGAGTCATTTGTGAATGCACAGCAGTAGAGCAGCATTAGATCCATGATAAAGCTTAGGCCTAGTAGTCTGCGCTTCTTCTTCTCCTGCATGGCTTAAATTAGGCTCCTCTGCATTAGGAAACTGGGTCAAAAATAGGCATAATAGCTTTCTCAATTAGGTAACATGACCCCAATTAACTGCTTCAGTTTCTTGTTGTTCAGGCTAACAGTAGACCTTGCTTTGCTGGTGTGTAGGTTGTGCCACAGACCTAAGTGTCGAGGGAAAAAGAGCACCTCAGTCCATGTAGTGAAATTTTTAGGCCTTGTGTAGGGTGGAAATTGTATGGTGCACAACTTGTTTGGGCTTGACAACACCCTTGAATTTGATTAAATAATTGTCTCAAACAGACAACATCCGCAAATGTAGTAAAGCCTCAATTCATCAGTGCTGTCTAGCACTGTCTGTTAATGCTAAGCACTATGATTAAATCTAACTTGTCTGTGTTACAGGATCAAGATCAATGAAGGTAATTAAGTGATTATGCTTGGGTGGCTGAAAACATTTTTTGAAAATGTTCACCCAAGACTTTGTGTGTCTGCACTCATGGGTCGGTGCGCATGTGAACATGTGTGTTTCCATGTTCCATCATGTCTTATGTTACTCTTTTTTTGCTAAGCTGAGATGGCAGTAACTGCTTCTCAGTCCTCTAAAGCCTTCATGAACGGATGGCAGTCCTCAGGAAAACTGGCTGCTGCCCTGACACTGTGTATGCTTGGGTGTGTTTGGGTGTGTGTAATGGTATATAAGGCCTGCGAATGCTTTTCAGTTCACGCTGTGAGCTACCACCACTCTCTCTGGTGCTGTGCTATCTGGTGATGGGATTACGTGTATGCTGAGCCAGCATTCTGCATGCAGAGATGCACTCCCACAGACACACACGTGTTTCTAAAAATTTGTTAGATTTTCAGCAGTTAATGGATTTAATCTAAAAAAAAAATTCAATCACAAGTCCTCATGCTCTGAGAACAACCTAATAATTATCTGTGTAAATTTTTTGACGCTGATAATTCTAAAGCTTTTTTTCTATAAAATTACTATGCCATTCTGTTTTTCTGTTCATTGTTACCAGGAAACGTTAGAACTATGAACGGTTGCTATTTAGTGAACTAGGCCAGTGTTTCTCAACCTAGTCCTTGGTTCCACCATATGGTTCCGCATTTTTGTTAGTGTGTTGGGATCTGGGATAGAGCAAAAACGTGGAACCGCCGCATGGGCCCCAAAGACTGGGTTGAGAAACATTGCTTTTGGTTATGTCCATCTTTTACTGAGTAGATGGGGAGAGTCTAGTCACATGTAACACTTCTAACAGCACAGCTAGCTAGCTAGCTATTTTCATAACTGTTCTTTTACATAATATATAAATATTTTATTTATATATATATATATGCCTGTATTTTTAAATAGTTAACCATCAGAAGCATTCTTTTTTTCAGGCTTTCACACATTATTCGAAGTTAAAATTGAGCATAACAAATAAAAATAAAATAAAAATCAGCTGTGGTTTGGTTTATTTATTTACATCTTATGGATTTCAGTAAAACATGAACTTTATCTTATCTTACCTTTCTTAGCGCTGACTGGGTGGAGATTCTGGAGCCACGCTCCCGGGAGCACATGTATGTGAATCTGGCAACAGGAGAGTGTGGCTGGGACCCCCCTGCTGATGCTCCTGTTCGCCAGGCTGATGGCAATCAGTGGTGGGAACTCTTTGACACCAACAGTGGCCGATTCTATTACTACAACTCAACTGGTCGTCTGACAGTTTGGCACCGGCCACAAGGAGCTGATATTGTGCCCCTCTCCCAGCTTCAGGCCATTAAGCGCTGTGCCGAATCTGAACACAAGGCAGTGTGCGTTAAGGAAAGGCAGTATGGGAGTGGAAGCACTGGGAGTCAAGGCAGACGCACCCCACAGCCACCTACGGAGCCCTTCACTAAAGAGCTTAAAGCTACTGAGAAAGAAACCAAAGAACAAGGCACTGAGAATATGCAGCAGTCGGAAAATAGCATGGATAGTAGCAAGGACTCACTCAGGTAGGCAGGGTGGTGTTTTGACCAAGTTTACCTCTTGTTGTATGCTTTGTCAAACTTGGCATGGAGGTTTCATTGCCGTTCTGATTTTTCCCGAAAGCTTATCCATTGCTAACCATCTACATGTTTACTATGAGCTCTCATGGTTGCCAATAATACAGATCACCGCTAACTCTGGAAAAAAAGATATACCTATGTTAAAAAACCATGGCATTTTTGCCTTTCACTTCACATTGTAGCTTTCCAGTGTCTTTCTTTCTTCCGGGACCAGTCAAAAACACCTTTTTCCCTTCATGACCAGATTCCAGTCATACAAGCTCAATTCTATCTGTCTGCTGGCCATGCTGGTGTTATTTTAGTGACTTATACCATGCTGCAAACCTCTGACCATTTAATTTTTCTTAAAGCAACTGCTTGGCCTCACTAGATGAAAGGGGCTGGGGACGAAGCTGGAGGAAATCCAAACCATTGTGGTTAAAACAAAATTATTTGCAGATTAATTGTAAAATTATTTGCAGATTAATTATCTGCAGTTTGAGAAATCACATTCAAGTCAAACAATAAAAATGGAATTAATTGAGCAAACTTTGCAGTGCCTTTAAGGATTTTAAAACACTTTATTGTAAGAGATAAACTAAGAAGCCATATAGTATAATGATATTATTATGAACATGCAACAGCCGCAACTATTATACATACTAGTGTTTAATGCAGGAACATTCACTATGCAAAGTTTTGCTCATTTATCCAGAAGAGCATTTGTGAGGTGAGACACATGTTGGATGAGAGGGCCTGACTCGCAGTCTCCGGGGTTGAGGTCAGGGCCAGTCAAGTACTTGGGGAACTTGCACTGGGGAACAGTCATGCTGGAACAGAAGAGGGCCTTCCCCACATTGTTACCACAAAGTTGGAAGCATACAAATGTCCGAAATGTCTTGGTGTGCTGAGGCATTAAGATTTCCCTTCACTGGAACTAAGAGGCCTAGGCCAACCCCTGAAAATAACCCCATAGCATTATCCCTTCTCCACCCAACTTTGCAGTTGGCACAATGAAGTCAGACAGGTAACGTCCTCCTGGCACTCGCCAAACCCAGGCTCATCCATTAGACTGCCAGATAAAGAAGCGTGATTCGTCACTCCACAGAATATGTTTCCACTGATCCAGATACCAGCGGCGACGTGCTTAACACCACTCCATCTGATGCTTGGCAATGTGCTTGGTAATGTAAGGCTTGCATGCAGCTGCTTGGCCATGGAGACCCATGCCATGAAGCTCCCATTGCACTTTTTGTGCTAATGTTAATGCCAGAGGAGGTTTGGAATGCTGCAGTTGTTGAATTAGCAGAACATTAGTTGATTTTTATGTGGTGACCCCACTGCGTAATTTTACGTGGTCTGCCACTTTGAGTTGCTATGGTTCCTAAACGCTTCCACTTTTCAATAATACCACTCATAGTTGATCATGGAATTATCAAGGGAGGAAGACATTTCATGAACTGACTTGTTGCAATGGTTTACTAAATGAAATTAAATACTAAAAAAAGAAAACATTGATTAAAAATTATCGTTATGATGAATTTACAATAATTAGTTGGAAATGTAAATGAAAATGTATTTTTGTCTTACAGGTGTCTCTTACCGTAAGGCTTTATTGTCCATTTTTGTTTGGCCTTTTTATTTAAAAAAAGAAATTATTCAATTAATCCTCAAAATAGTTGGTAGAATTAGTAGAATCTAAAAATTATTAAATGTTAAAATATCAAAAAGTGTGATGGAGACAATGGCTGAAACAGAGTGAGAGAGCTTATTTCATCACTGTTCTGGGACATCTGGATTTTGAACAGAGGAGGGATTACTCTTCATTTAAAATGAATTTATATGCTGTGAGAACAGGGATTTCAGAGTGGATTCCCCTAATCATGTGACTTTGTGGGTAACCCAAGAATGACCTAGGGAAGTCCTGAAGGGGGTCGCTAAGCTCTTTTGTCCACCAAGTTGACCCCAGGGCAGATTGGCTACCATCAGAAGAAAAGAGTTCACTTAAGCATGGTGCTCTCAGAGATCAGCTGTTGGGTTTCCCATTAGAGGTCTGCGCGAGACTGTTTTTTCAGTCCCGCTCCCACAACATCTCATAGCGCTCCTGCAAAATTGGAATCATTTGTCCCACTCCCACCTGCAACTGAAACATTTTGGCCTGCTCCTGCCCATGCAGTTCTGTCAAGGCGAATTCAATATCTGACATAGTCTGTTCGCAAATGCATTATCCTCTGCTGAAATGACACGATAGTCATGATCATCATGCTCACTGTGAAGTAATTTTACCAAACGCCATTTATTCCCAGTAAACACAAAGCAGGAATTAAGCCACAGAACAGTTATTTTTGAGGTTTGCTTGGCTCGGCAGGCTGCTGTCTCTATAAGCTTTGCAACCCTTTTGCATGACTTCATTCAGTTTTACTGTTATCATTTTATATTGTTTTATTTATTTATTTATTTATTTATATATATATATATATATATATATGTATGGCGGCACGGTGGTGCAGTGGGTGGCGCTGTCGCCTCTCAGCATGGCCTGGGTTCGGTTCCCGGCCGGGTGACCAGAGTCATTTCTGTGTGGAGTTTGCATGTTCTCCCCGTGTCTGCGTGGGTTTCCTCCGGGTACTCCGGTTTCCTCCCACAGTCCAAAAACATGCAGTCAGGTGAATTGGACAAGCTAAAATTGCCCCTAGGTGAGAGTGTGTGTGTGAATGTGTATGTCTGTTTGTCTGCCCTGCGATGGACTGGCGACCTGTCCAGGGTGTATCCTGCCTTCCGCCCAATGACAGCTGGGATAGGCTCCAGCACCCCACCGCGACCCAGAAGGATAAGCGGTTTAGATGATGTATGTGTGTGTGTGTGTGTGTGTGTGTGTGTGTGTGTGTGTGTGTATATATATATATATATATATATATATATATATATATATATATATATATATATATATATATATATATATATATAATCAGCTCCACTTACTGTATAGGTACAGACTGTAGTCCATCTGTTAGCCCCCTTTTACCCTGTTCCTCAGTTGTCAGGACCCTCATGGACCTTTACAGAGCAGGTACTATTTGATGAAGGACTAGAGGATGACCAACACAAACTGTGCAGCAGCAGATTAGCTATTGTCTCTGACTTTACATCTACAAGGTGGACCAACAAGGTAGGAGTGTCTAATAGAGTGGACAGTGAGTGGACACAGTGTTTAAAAACTCCAGCAGCACTGCTGTGTCTGATCCACTCGCACCAGCACAACACGCGTGTTACTGCAGTGCTGAGAATGATCCACCACCCAAATACTACCTGCTCTGTGAGGGTCCATGGGGTCCTGACCACTGAAGGACAGGGTAAAAGGGTACTAACAACATGCAGAGAAACAGATGCACCTATATAGTAAGTGGAGCTGATAAAATGGACCGTGAGCGTGGTTATAATGTTATGCCTGATCGGTGTGTGTGCATATATATATATATATATATATGATTTAGTGATCATTCTACTTTATTTAGATTATTCATTAATTTCATTAATAAAACGGGATTTTTCTTGAAGCCTGCTTCGTTCTGCTACAGCCTGCAGTGGATTGATTTTCCTCTCCCATGCACAGCACTAAAAATTATTCCCGCACCAGGAGATATTGAAGTAGCAGTGGATTTAAGGTAGCAATAGCTTTAAGGTAGCAGTGGATTTGAACTAGCAGTGGACTGAAGGTAGCAGAGAATTTAACGTACTGGTGGATTTAAAGTATCAGTGGATCTAAGGTATTGGTAGCTTTAAGATAACAGTGTATATAAGGTGGCAATTTATTTAAGATAACAGTGTATTTAAGGTAGCAGTAGATTTAAGGTGGTAGTGGATTTAAGCTAACAGTATATTTAAAGTATCAATGGATTTAGGGTACCATTCGATTTAAGGTATCAGTAGATTTAACATACCAGTGGATTTACGGTATCCATAGATTTAAGATAACTGAATTTAATGCCATGGCGCATTTAAGGTAGCAGTCATGGTGGAATTAAGGTATCAATAGATCATCAGTAGATTTAAGGTTCAAGTGGTTTAAGGAAGCAGGAGACTTAAGGTACCAGTGGATTTAAGGTAACAGGAGATGGATTTCAGTTACCAGTGGTTTTGAGTGGATTTTGGGTACCAGTAGTTTTAAGGTATCAGAGAATTTAAGATAGTGGATTTAAGGTAGCAGGAAATTAAGGGGGGCAGTGGATTTAAGGTAGCAGGAAATTAAGGGGGGCAGTGGATTTAAGGGAGCAGTGGACATAAGGTAGCAATGAATTTAAGGTATCAGTGGATTTAAAGTAGCAGGGGATTTAAGGTAGCAATAGATTTAAGGAAGCTGTGGATTTAATGTGTAAGTAGATTTAAGGAGTCGTTGGATTTAAGGGAGCAATGGATTTAAGGTACAAATTAATTTAAGGAGGCAGTGGATTTAAGGTAGGAATAGATTTAGGGTAGCAGTGGTTTTAATATTTGTGTGGATTTAAGGTGGTTGTGGATTTAAGGTACCAGTGGATGTGAGGTGGCAGTGGATTTAGGGTAGCAATGAATTAAAGTTAGCAATAGATTTAAGGTTGCCGGAGACTAAAACTAGCAATGGATTCAACATTATAAAAATACAACATTTAAGAGTGTAGAATGGCAAAGTGGAGTTTTGCCTGATCCAGTCAGTCTGGCTTCTTAACACTATAGAAACCGTAAACAAAATGGTGCTATATAGTGCCTTGGTCTAATACACTAATGAGCTAATATGTTTGCCCAGCAACAAGCTAGTCAGAGGTGAATACGTTAGCCGCAAGCTAATGTGTTAGCTCCAAGCTAATGCACCAACACAAGCTAATATGTGAGCCCTGAACTTACACACTAGCCCCATGTAACATGCTAGCCACAATACAATGATGCAACAATGCAATACAGTGTGTTTCAAAACAAAACAGGAAGTGGTACTG